TTCGGCACTGTTCGAAGAACTGCCTCGTTGGGTGCTGTACCACGAGCTGGTGTTTACGACGAAGGAGTACATGCGGTCGGTGATTGAAATCGAAAGCAAGTGGCTGCTGGAGGCGGCACCGCATTACTACAAACCGAAGGAGCTCGAGGATTCCACCAATAAAAAGATGCCGAAAACGATCGGTCGGGCCACGCTGACCGAGGCGTAGGTTGTGATGAGACGGTTTGGGGTAATTCAAGAGCATTTTTCGCACTATGTATTCAACGGGAATTGTTGTTATTTGCGATGACATTATCCTACCTAGGGTGTCGGGTGTAAATTAGTGATCTTTAGGGACAAATAGGTGAAATATAAGGTTGCTGCAACCATGCTATATTGTATGTCAGTAGAGAGCTTCATAAGGCTAGCCCGTCTAATCCCAGTCGCGCTCCTTTCCGTTTCTTCAGGTCCGGTTAGGTGGATTAGGTATTCTCTGGCACGCCGAAGCCAACTGCAGGGCTATTACAAGTGTCGCAAATTTTGTGCGGTTTTATAGCTTTTGAAGTGCGGATTTTGCGGAAAGCTTATCGACATTGAACACATTTAATAACTTTACTGCTTTACTTCTTTATTAAATCTTTCTAAACGTAGATTTTCCTGGAGTCTTCAAATAATTAGAATCGAAACTTAGTTGAATTAACCCTAAGTGGAACTAATCCGCGCCAAAGCAAATCTGAGATGGCAGTCCACGAATACCTCAGATTTGCGAATTTAGCGTAGTCGTAACAACGCCGTCCTTGACGGGAACTAACAAAGTTTATACTATTTCAAACAATCGCTGATAGGAAGTTTTTTCGCCAAGTGAATGATGAAATACTCACAATGATTTCACTGTCTTAAGATTTATTGCTGTCTCTAATAGCATATGTAGCAAAGCTATACATTATTTTTCTCTCGTCTCAATACCTACTTACTACCAAAAGTGGATGTGTTAATAACACAATCAATGATTAACAATTAAAAAAAACCCTCACTGAATTCAACCATACACAGCAGAACATACAAAATCAAAATCTCTCTTTAAAATATGCCCCGACCCGTCCGCTCTAATGCTGCGACCACTGGATCGACTTGATGTCGATACCTTCCTGGACCATCGGCGGCGAAAGCGAAGGCAGCGGTCCCAACTTACTGCTCAGCATATCCGAAGGATTTCAGGCATTCTTCTGCGAGATGAGGTTATTTTTGCGGGTGCTCCACTTCATTCACAGCATGTAGTGCTTTACGTATTTCGATAACCAGTCCTTCTTCGGCGGTGATGTCATCGGTATCGTCCTCCCTGGGTCGTTGCTGCTGCTGCTGGTGTAGTTTTGGCGTTCCACTTAGCTTGTTTTCCACGAAAACCTCCCCGTTGCGGATGCTGTAGTTGTTGCGTACGATGTGCGTCTTCTTTCCTGGGGGAGCAGCTGTCGGGTTTGGCTGAAAATTATGATGACGATGTGAATGGTGATGGTGCTGGCAGTATCTATTTAGGGTCAGACTACACAGAAAAAAAAATGTAATATCGATCAACGTAATTCAAGCTGATGTATGAAATAATGATGTAATAGCAAAAAGCAGATACAATATTACATCAATGGACGTAATTTTGTTCGCAAAATCGATGTACATCGTACAACGTAATATTACATAACCGGCGGAATGATCTCTGTGCAGCTGTTTAGGTGTAATATTCAACAACTTTTTTTTTTCTGTGTACCATTAACCCATGTTACATTACGGAATATTTAAGGTGATTCCTTGTAGAGTCCGCCACGTAGGTTATACAATGCTCTTCCACTTCGAATTTTCATTCACACAACTCTTGGCAATTAATGCCCCATTTCACATGAAATTGCTACTTCATGTATGCTGCAGTACAGCAAACGTGGAGTAACAGTTTCATTGTGGTACGTGTCGTAGAAGCTGATATTTGTGCACTTAAAGTTTCGAAGTGGAAACGAGAATAAGGATCTCACAGCGAAACACCTTAAAAAGCATCTAACAACTAAGGAGAGCAACTCTGCTGCATAATTAAAAATGTAAGTGGGCGAAGGGAATCTAATGTTGATTTATGGATCTGAACCTTGGCCTTAACGATAAAAATGTTCTTTATTGATTTTAACTATATGAAAGCTTTATACACGGCGAATGAGGACGACTCAAATTTGAGTTTAGTTCACTGATAATCGTCAAAAGTTCAGGAACTCAGCGATGAGTAAATTTGTCTCATGGTTCCCTAAAAAATCTGCCGGAAAATCCTGGAAAAACCTGCATCCTGCACTTTTGGCTGATCTTTGCTTAATTTCCTATTCATATGGGACAGCTATGCTATTATCGGCAGAATAGGTTTCCATCTTTCAAGTATGAAACATATGTTTCAACTCAGAAGCATAGACGAACAGCTAAGCTATTCTATGCTACTGTTCGACCTTGTTGCAGTTTACGAATTACTCTACGGAAGTCGGATAAAAACAGTAATATAAGTATCAAAAAATAGTGACTCACCACCGACGTCTGACTGAGAGCCATTATTTGGATAGACGCTTACTTCTGGTGCTCCAAATAGTGTCGTCTGCCGTCCAGAACGGCAGAGAAGTTCCGCAGAATGAAGTGCGGCGACTAGATTGTTCCTTTTAGTGGCCTTCACGGAAGTTGACCTGCTACTTTCGGGAACGGCTAAATGCTATCGTCTGTCAATATGGTTTTACGGCCGTTCGTTTCCCGATTTTAAGCTGATTTAAGATGATTCCGTGAAATACTGATAGAATGGTTTTTTGACTTGCCAACTGAACGGAACTATGAGCAGAGGTATACAGTGGGAAGAAACGTAGCGAGACGAAAGATGGAAAATATTCACACAAGAGATTTTTCACTTCGTAACTTCTCCGGAGTCAGCGGATGGGATATAGTTAAGATTCACTTTTTTTTATAATTTTTTTTCCTGAAATTAATATTTTCGCGAAACACATACGCGCAGCGAGACGAGCCGATGGAGAATCGCAAGTGCTGTGATCAATGTGATTGATGAGGCAGCAGGAAACAAGTCAGCTCTTTCATTATCACAACGTTCTTATGCATAATCTAGTGTGACGTAACATTGAATCATGCGTAAGAACGAAAGAGTCGACTACATTCCTTCTGCCGCACCTATAGTAACGCACACGGCTCCCGCACTGACTATTTCTTACTTTCTCACTCTAATCAAAATTTCCTTCGATGAGTGAGAAAACAGCACCCCGTCAATGCGAGCGAGAACGCGAGTTGCCAGATCATTGCACACAAAACCAACTTGAATTAATTCAAAACAAAAATACTAGCGAACCTGGCGGTGAGGAGCGGAAGGTGGACTAGAATTCTATTACAGAGAACCACATTATTTTAATTAATTTCTTCGGAGAAAGTCGTCTGTAACTTCGTTTGTGGTTTTACTCACACAACTTAACCGATTGCTTCATCTCGGTAATCCAGCTCATTGGTGGTGATCATGCGAGATCAGTGACGGGTCCCGCTGCTCACTTCTCATCACTCGCAGGAAGTCGAGGGGTTCGCCGAATCGATAGGCGTAGTAACAGATGTAATATCAAAAAGCAGGTACAATATTACATCAATGGATACATCGTACAATGTAATGATGAATTGATGAATTACACAACCGATGGATTGACCTGGTTGCAGCAGTTTCGATGTAAGATTCAACAACTTTTTTTGCTGTGTGCGGCTACCCCAAGAGGAACCCTAGTAAAAAATTCCAAAAACGAACGTTAACCCAAATGATAGAACTGGAAAAATGATTTGGATCATACAAAGAACACGTGTAATACCCCGTTCACATTACAACCTATATCACGTAATATAGGCTGTCTTGCAATGAGCACTCATACATAGGATTTCCAGTGAAAACTAGATGTATGAGTGCTCATTGCAAGACAGCGTATATCACACGTGATATACGCTGTAATGTGAACGGGGTAAAACGTATCTTAACCATACAATAGAATTTATTGTATTTACAATAAATCATATTGTCTACATTGATTAAATTAATAATCACTTGTTCCCACACAAAGATGAGCCATTTACCATTAATTGTATTGTTGTTCTATTGTTGAAAATTCTTACTATACGTCCCATTATTGTAAATCTATTGAAATAACAATATGTTAACATTTCTTGTACAATATACCAACAATGAGATCGATTGTTGGCAATAGATTTTGATGTAATTGTATTTTATTTTATGGTAATTGTATTGTTATTTTTCCGGGCGTCGTTAAGCCAAATACACTGGAGTCGCTTTTTACGCGGGTGATAAAAAAAACCGCGTAAATTCCGAAATCCGCGTAAAAAGCGACTCTAGTGTATAACCATAGAGGTAACTCTAAGACCACTGGGTCCCGAAGAAAATCATTATTATTTTTGGCTCACTCAGTACCAGAACAACGGTCCCAAGCAGTCCCAAGCTATTTCACTAACCCCTGCATGTTCTGCATGAATCCACACACCCCTGATGTTATCTGTCAAACTTTCATAGCGAATCAAAACAAACATAGTGTAGTAATAGAATTTCAACTAGAATAGGGTACGTTAATCGTTTGCTTGGTACCAATAGGCTACTAAAGTGGTGAGCCAATTTAAAATCGTTAGTTTCGTATTGATTGTTGGTATAACGATAAACCTCGTAAATTCTGAAATCCGCGTAAAAAAAAAAACAAAATCCGCGTAAAAAAAAACCGCGTGAATTCCGAAATCCACGTAAAAAAAAACTGTGTAAATTCTGAAATCCGCGTAAAAAAAACCGTGTAAAAAAAATCCGCGTAAAAAGCGACTCCAGTGTAATCAGAACAAATTTATTAAGGTAATGTTTAATTTTCATCAAATTTTTACTTATTCTTCAGTTGCTTTTAATGAGCGTGTTTTGCCACAGTTGATTCAGAGATTCTTATTTTTCTTTATTTTTGGTCGGTTGCTGTCAGCAGCTGTCATCTCATCATTCCTTTCGTAGTGTTCAAAAATGGCGAGTCGTGGACCAAATCGTCGTCCGGCGCAAGAAGTCGATAATACCATCTCGTACGTCCAGTGCGATGGCCTGGTAAGCAAAATTCAATAGATCCAGTGAAATTCTACAGAATTCAGAAGTTTTCCCCCGTGAAAATAGTGATTTCCTGGGTGAAAAAGTGGAATGAAAATCGCTTGGATTTCACCATGCTTTGTCGTTCGATTTTGCTTGGTTGACGTTTCATGCAGCTAACACTCATGATACCTACACCAAGCGAGTGAATGTCCCGACTACAGCTACTAATTATTATGATTTTCTCATATTTCAGGCTGCGATGAAAATGGTTAAGCACTGCCATGAAGAATCGGCGAGTAATATGGAAGTGGCACAGGGTGCCCTTCTGGGTTTGGTGGTAGATGATCGGCTGGAAATCACCAACTGTTTCCCGTTCCCGAAGTCTTCCGATGAGACGATTGATGAGGAAGAGTACCAGCTGAACATGATGCGCCGTTTGCGTCTGGTAAATGTGGATCACTTCCACGTCGGGTGGTACCAAAGTGCCGACGTTGGCAACTTCCTGTCGTTGCCTCTGCTGGAATCGCAGTATCATTATCAGACCAGTATTGAGGAGTCGGTTGTGGTCATCTACGATACGCAGAAGTCGGCTCGCGGATTCCTGACGTTGAAGGCCTACCGGCTGACCCCGCAGGCCATTGCCATGTACAAGGAGGAGAAATTCACTCCAGAGGCGCTGCGTAATCTCAAGGTTGGTTACGAGAATCTGTTCATTGAGATTCCAATCGTGATCAAGAACTCGGGTCTCTGCAACATCATGATGTCGGAGATGACGGAAATGGTCCCGGAGGAAGAAGGTACGCACTTTTTGGATCTGGGAACTGCTTCCGTACTGGAGAACCATTTGCGTTGTCTGATGGATCGCGTCGATGAGCTCAACCAGGAAGCAAACAAGTTCAACAAATATCAGCAAACGGTCATCCGACAGGAACAGGTAAGAAAAACAAGACGCCGCTGCAACTAGTTTTTAAAGCTGTTTATTGCTTTATTTGTATTATTGCCTAGGACAAACATCGCATGTTGGCCAAACACGCTCAGGAGAACGCGGCCCGCATCGCCAAGGGTGAAACTGCGGTTCCGGAAGAGGAAGTTCAGAAACTGTTCCGTCCGTTGCCGGTACCGTCGAGGTTGAACCCGATGATCGTATCCGGTCAGATCAACACCTATTCCCAGCACATTTCACAATTCTGCTCTCAATCGTTGGCTAAGCTGTACATGACTCAAGCCCTGCAAGGTGCCAAGGAAAATAAACAGTAAAGCGCGTGTTGTTGAAAGTAAAGCAGATGAACACTTTTCGAAGGGACATTTTGAGAAACACTTGATGCATCCTAGAGTGTGAAGTAGACACAATTCGAACATTTCCATTTAGGCGAGAGTTCAGAAGAGAAGATAAACTAGTAGACGGAAAAGTTTTTGTTGGAGTAAGATATCGTTGAAGTACTGAAGAATCAGAATAAAAAAAGGAAACCGTCACCGTATAAGTTCTAAGCAACATCTGAGGATAACGATCGGGACGAGTTTCCACACAAGAATGTTTATGTATGGTTCAATTTGACAACAATTTGCGAAAGAAAGTCACTATAAAAAGATACAAATCAATGGCGTTCAAAGCGCCCGAAAAAAATAATTCGGACGAAAAAACCATCCGAGAATAAGGATTCCTCACTGTAGGGTCTCTTTTGACCTTATTGACAGGTTTAAGGAAAGTTTCAGCTATAACAGCAATATGTACGCTATGAACCCGTGAAAAGTTAAAGAGCTCGGTCTCATTTTCTGTTATAGATCGAGCATTCCAAATCAAAATATTCAATGATTTAAAACCCATTACTGAATTTCTGAGTCATGTCTATATTATTTACGAAGTTAACTCCACTTTGAATTGCATCAAACATATAGAGTTAGTTATCAGTTATCACGATTGCTGAAAAATTCCACGCCAAAATCATCAAATGATGGCTAGAATTTTGATTTCGATTTCTACCAGCTGTAATAGCAATTTCTTCCTAAATTATGACACAAACACGTACGTTTCACCGGCTCTGTGTAATTTCACCCAAACAAGCTCAAATTCTTTGATTTTTTTTTCCTTTGTTTTCCGTGCTGAGCACCAATGCTACCGACGCCAGGGAGGCAGTTCCCACACCTGGACCCTACCTATCGACCCATCAACTCATGAACCGGGGACCAACGGCTTTACTTCCCTTCCGAAGGAAGGCGTGATCAGAGATGTTATGCCTCAGAGCATCCCGGCGGCGCCGACTGGGATTGAACCCAGGCCTGCTGGGGTGAGAGGTAATCACGCTTACCACTACACCACCGGCGCCGTTCTTTGAATTTTTATGTACAGGTGATTTCTGAGTTAAAATTGGCCGAAAGAGCTATAAGGACTTCGCCTCCTGACTTCAACTGAGACGCATGAAAACTTCTGTCGTTTCTGAATACATTAAAGGCATTTCCAAAGATTTATTCACTTTGTACGCTTTCATCCCAGCTTGTTGCATTTGCCAAAATTACCGAAAAGGATAAGCATAATGAATGTTGCTAGATTTCCTTAATTTTGGCTGGGATTGTTATGCGATTTAAATTTAGACGGTAAGGTAACTACCCAAAATTTGAGTTCTTTTTACTTAATATTGACTTCAGCCTCTCACTTGCACTAGTTATTGTTTTCAAAAAAAGGAACAAGAGATTCGACCCAACGATATAGTTCAGCCCAATAAGTTACTTTTGAGTAAAATGCATATTCTCAAATTTACGTGAATTAAACGTAATTTTGGGTAGAATATACTTAAGACTACGTATTTTTTTTTTTTGCTGGTGTTAAATGGAAAATACTATATGAGATTTACTCAAATTTGGGTTATTGGACTGAACCCCGGAATTGAGGGAAAAGTACTTAATTTTGGGTTGTTTTTCATCTCCGTGTACGTACCCACATTAATCCGGACACCTTCAAATCACCTGTAACTTCTCACTTTTGAAATATTGCACTTAGGAGTGGAAAATTTCGCTGTATTATAGCCGGGAGTCATTGATACTTACTTTACCCATCAGGCTAAGGCCTTGTGGTCCTCTGCTGTCCGAAGAAGTCGTCTCCACTCTACTCGATCCATGGCCACACTTCGCCAGCCTCGTAATCTTCGCAGGGTCCGCAGGTCACCTTCTACTATGTCGATCCACCTTGCCCGCTGCGCACCTCTTCTTTTTGTTCCTGTCGCTTTCGAGAACCATTTTCACTTGGTCGTCGTGCGGCATTTTTACGACGTGCCCAGCCCACCGTAAACGCCCAATTTTTTCAATGTGGACGATGGATGGTTCTCCCAGCAGCTGGTGTAATTCGTGGTTCATTTGCCTCCTCCACGTTCCGTCATCCATCTGCACTCCACCGTAGATGGTACGCAACACCTTCCGTTCGAAAACACCAAGGGCGCGTTGGTCCTCCACGAGCATAGTCCAGCTCTCGTGGCCGTAGAGAACCACCGGTCTAATCAGCGTCTTGTAGACAGTCAACTTCGTGCGGCGGGGAATTTTATTCGATCGGAGCGTCCTCTGGAGTCCAAAGTAGGCACGATTCCCTGCCATAATGCGTCTTTCAATTTCTCTGCTAGTATCATTTTTGGCGGTCACCAGTGAGTCCAAATACACGAGCTCATCGACCACCCGGATTTCGTCACAGTCAATCTGAACTCGGGGTGTCCTCCCTCTTCCTTTCTTGTATTATGTCTTCGAGGCGTTGATGGCAAGTCCAATCCGCCTATCTTCAGCCTTTAGTCTGATATACGTTTCCGCCATCGTCTCAAAGTTGCAAATGGTGACAGGCGGCGGCATAGAATTTGGGAGAGTACCTTGTAGGCGGCACCAACTTGTCGCCCTTTTTGTAGATTGGGCATACGACACCTTCCATCCACTCCTCCGGTAATATCTCATCCTCCCAAATCTTGGCAATTACCCAGTGCAGCGCCTCTAGGCAGTGCCTTACTACCGTATTTTAATAGCTCACTTGGTAGTTTATCTACACCAGTTGCTTTGCTGTTCTTCGGGAGTCATTGATGAAAAAGACTATGATTGGTGTTTACATTCCATGTTTAGTGTTCAAGATGGCGACGAATGAAAAACACGTGCGCGAGCGGATTTTGTACGGACGTAATGCAAATCCTGACTTGTCAATACAGGAACTTGCAAAACAAATGGATTTACCTAAATCCACTGTTCACGGTGTGCTCAAATCATTTTCGGAACATTTGACGGTCGAGAGGAAACCGAGAAGTGATAAAAACAATGGACGTGCCGGTCCTGTCATGGACCGTAAGGTGAAGAGGATATTGAATGAAAACCCGAATCTCTCTGTTCGAACGGCGACTCGTAAAATAGGAATGTCGCCTGGTTTTGCCCAAAAATCAAAACAGCGTTTGGGGCTGAAGTCGCATAAAGTAAAAACAGTTCCAAATGACGTCGAAGGTTTACATTAAAGCTAGGGGCATCCCACTCTAAACTATAGCTCAAGTATCAATTAAGTATTTCCAAGTATCTGATAAGTATTCTTAAGTATTTTTAAGTATTTTAAGTTTTTGATTTTTTTTTAACCGTAGTAACCGGTTTCTAATGTTGTTATTTGTTGTTGTATATTCCGTCAATGTAATGTAAGTACTTTAAACCTACTTATGAAATAGATCATCAAAACAAAATTTTCTTTCAGCGAACCAATTGGAGCAGGGACTGCTGTTGGATCGAGAACTTATCCGATCAGAATTATTTGATTTCGACCTGGCTGATATCAGACTTTTGAATTCTATTGCTTAACGGGAGGTTAATCGTCACTCGTCAGCTGGCAGAATAAATATAGCGAATGAAGTTTGGGACGATGGCTATATTCGATCATCCCTAAGGTGTCGAAGAGTCCTTGGTTCATTTAAGACATCAATTATGTATAACGCAAATTATAACTTGGCACTGTAAAGTTTATTCGATTGAGCCTGTACAAAAAAATCTAATTAATAAAAAAAAACTGGAGGTTAATGATGCCGTTGTCGTCCAGACTCGCAACCAGATTCCAAACTGACCTTCCTAACCTACCAGACTGAACTGCCATAATAAAAGTGTATGTTGGAAATTCCGTCCTAAGAATTACCGCAAGCTGCATGAGTGTGGAATTATTGACTAGGATACTAGGACTACGCTCGCTATTTGTCAGAGAGCAATAGAAACACAATGAAGCATAACTGCCTTGAAATTGAACTGATTGCAATTGCCACTGGTGGCCGTATCGTGCCGCGTTTTGAGAAACTTACATCGGTAAAGATGAGTTACGACGGACTGGTGAGGGAGTTGAATGAGTATCCTGATAGTAGCCGAGAGATTTATGTGAAATCAACTTGATTTTCTAACTTTTAGGCATTGAAACCAGAAAGAATAAGAAGGAAGATATTAATCTTTTCTTTAATAATAATTAATTTCAAACCATTGATATACCAAATAAAACGATGTACTTCAAAAACGTAACTTATTTTTTCTCATTTCGTGAATTTATTTCAAACAATTTCCCAAACAATGTTTAAAGCGATTCCGAGCGGATATGTTGGTTCGTCATGTCCAGCCTTAATAATAAGCCTTAACCAGGAGAGCATTGAAGGTTCCAATTCCGAGGAAATGTGATACACTTCTACAAGAAACTCATTCGGCGGAAATCTAGGAGATGTGGCTTTCCGGATGCCATAATTACGGATGCGTACGGAATCATGCGGAATCAGCGTAAATTCCTGAAGTTATCGTCCCACGGTCAAGATCCTAATGGACGAAAAATCCATCTCCAACTGGTTCACCTGTCACTCAAAGGAAGAATAAGGAGCTATTTGGAAAGTTATTGTAAAAAAGTGCATTTGAAAGCAAATCCTCGAAACAAATTTGTCTATCCAAAAACCATCCATCGATAAGGTTTTTGGATAGACAAATTTGTTTCGAGGATTTGCTTTCAAATGCACTTTCTTTTACAATAACTTTCCAAATAGCTCCTTATTCTTCCTTTGAATGACAGGTTAATAAGTTGGCAATGTAATATTCCTTGAATCAAAACGGTCTCCTCTTCGATTCCTAAATAAAAGGAATAAATTTAAAAATAGGTAATAGTTGAATTTCTAAAAACGCACACACAAAATCCCAGACGACCTGGACACCTGGTAAATAAACAATGAAATCTGTCTAGCAACGGTGGTAACAAACTAGAGCTAAATATTTCTTAAGCATTTTTAAGTATTTTCAGGTATCTTAGATATCAGTAAGAACTTTCTGAGTATAATGCGAGAAATACAATGTTTAGAGTGGGATGCCCCTAGCATTAAAGAGTGTCTGAAAAGCGGATTTTACCCTTCATTCGGCCGTGAAGAACACCGTTCTGTTTTGTCCGGATCTAGCCAGCTGCCACTACTCTAAGGAGGTACTAGAATTGTATGCTGCAAACAATGTTCATTTCGTCGCCAAAGAGATTAATCCTCCGAATTGCCCTGAGTTTAGACCGATCGAAAAATATTGGGCAATT